CGTTAGTTACGTTACGTTACTTACGTTATTACGTAGTACGTCGACGTCACCTACGTAGTAGAGTAGGTAGGTAGTACGTATTATTTGTTTGTTGTGTGTGTGTGTGTGTGTGTGTGTGTGTAGAGAGAGAGAGAGAGAGAGAGAGAGAGTCTTAAGAAGTTATTTCAAGCTTTTGTATGCTTCTCCAGACTTCTCAGTGCTTACACCTTACTAATTTGCTGTAGTTTTGATTTTCATTATCAGGTTAGTGATATCTCTTTAGCAGATTATATCGCTGTCGCCCCATCTAAACATGCAACATTTGTCCCTCATACTGCTGGCCGTTATTCAGTAAAGAGATTCCGCAAGGCTCAGTGCCCCATTGTGGAGAGATTGACAAACTCCCTCATGATGCATGGGAGAAATAATGGCAAAAAATTGATGGCTGTGCGCATAGTCAAGCATTCGATGGAAATTATCCACCTTCTCACTGATCAAAATCCGATCCAAGTAATAGTTGATGCAGTTATAAACAGGTGATTTTGGTTTTATTTTCTTGTCCCTACGATAATCATGTAAATTTGAATGGGAGATCTATATACGTATATGGTCTCCTCACTCTCTCTCTCACACACACACATGCATATAGCCATGCACACAGATGTACACTTGCACATCTTGTATTATCTTTGAGCTTCCTCAGCTTCTGTATCAAAATAGGGGGATCCGTTTGTCTAAATGGAGGTGACCCAATGTGGTTTCAATGTAGTTGTGACAAACACGCCCAATAGCACACATAATTTCTTGTGTTTTATCCCTGAAATGGAGGACCATGTGGTATCTCTCCTCTGGCATCCACTTGTACACAGATCCTACGTTTATCTGTTATCCTTAAATCTTTTATCTACTATTTCACGCTCTGTCTCTCTCTCCTATATTTAATGGAAGGTCCTTTCATGCTCTTTCTCTCTCTCACTTCTATATTTAATGGAAGGTCCTTTCATGCTCTCTCTCTCTCTCTCACTTCTATATTTAATGGAAGGTCCTTTCATGCTCTCTCTTTCTGTGGCAGTGGGCCAAGGGAAGATGCAACTAGGATAGGTTCAGCTGGTGTTGTGAGGCGGCAAGCCGTGGATATCTCTCCATTGAGGCGTGTGAATCAGGCCATTTACCTTCTAACTACTGGTGCTCGTGAGAGTGCTTTTAGAAACATTAAAACGATAGCAGAGTGCTTGGCCGATGAGCTCATCAATGCAGCTAAGGGATCATCTAACAGGTATATTTTTTATTTACTTTAATTTTGGTGATCTCTTCTGGTTTTTGCTTTCTCTTAATGTTCTGTTACGTAATACTGGCCTGGTTGCTCAACAGCTATGCCATCAAGAAGAAGGATGAGATTGAAAGAGTTGCAAAAGCTAACCGTTGATGGATTTGCTTTACTGGCGTATTTTTCTTTCCCAAGAGGGCATTAAAGAGATAATGTGAGAAATCAACTGAATCTGGCTTTTATTTGTGGTAGTTCTTGGATGGAGCTTGCCTTTCCCTTTCTCTTTTTGAATATGTATGAACTTTTGGAGCGAAAAGAATTGCAATTTTCGCTTTTTTCCATGAAACCAAGGATTCTAAGAAATGAGCACAAAATACTTTTGCGCAAGGGTCACTTGCATTTTCTGAAAACCATGGTTTGAAGGCATTTTAATGATTAACTTGATTGTCACAAAATAAAAGGAAGACATTCGTTTAGATTTTGGCTTTTTGGATGCCCGTGCAAAGTGACTTGCATTCATAGGTTGGACTTCAAACTACAAGTGAAAGAGAGGTCTTATTATCGACTTTTTTCATCATCAAAACGACTCTCTCTCTTTCACGCACACGTATTTTGCTGTCACTTCTTTCCGCTTTTTTCCGATCCTCAATGCATTGAGCTACCATGTGAAGAAAGAGAAACAATGAAATAGAGATTTGGAGAAACCTAAACTTGAAGATGATACCTGCTCTTGCAAGCCTTCATCCAAAAACTGAAATTCAAGAGAAGATGGGGAATTAAGGGGGTTCTCTCTTTATGCCTTTTTGATACCAGGTGGCTTTATTTCTCAAAAGCTTCTATCTGAAAAGACTTCTCTAATTTCTCGTGGTTTGTAGCCCGGTTGCTGAATTTGTGATGGGTGATGATGCAACTGCCATACGGAGGGTTACCGCTCCTGCTGAGACAATGACGCATTCGTTTCAAAACCAGGAGAATCTGCCGTAGCACAAAGCTGAGTTACTGGTTCAATTGAGGCATTTGAGGCTGGTTTTTTTAGAGAGAGAAACAATGGGTGAGAGAAGAGAGGTTTTAAGACCCTCATAACACACACTCTCCATTATAATCTAAATGAGAATCTTTCATTGTCCATCATCATATTGACACTCTTGCATGCAATCCAGACCTGCAAGTTTTCTAATAACCAGACAGGGAGATTGGTTCTTAAAAGTTTGGAGTGTACCTAGTTACGAGGATAAAACAACCCATGAGTGACAGTTGTTTAATGAATTTATAATGGCCATGGCTTATTGACGATTCAGTAGGAGGAAACCTATGAGTGCAATGGTTTATGTGATGTCAAATTGGATGGTTAGAGGTGAGTTATTTGATAATTTTTTTTTTGGAATTTTGTGTCTATTCAATGAAATTGTGTCTAGATACACTTCCGACCATTTTTTTTCAAATTTAAGGCGTAATGGATTGAGACTGTTGTGGATAAAAGAAAAAAGAAAAAGCTTATATAGAGTTGAGGCTCTAAACAATCAAATTAGAAGCCACTTCAAAAATTTTAGTAGAAGAGGCTGTTTTGGTGCTCAAATATTTCAAATTGATCATCTCGACATCAAAATGCATAAACATGAGAAAAAAATGGATTTCAAGTTTTGAAAATAGTGTATATTGTAGCGTATTTTTGGATTATCAATTTTCAAGATTTATAAGTTTTTAGAGATATGTTCGATTGACAATATTTTTTAAGATTTAAATTTTATAATTAAAGATGACAATATATTTTAAGGCTATCACAAATATTTTCAATATTGAAATCATATTTTTACACTATTTGAAAGTGGGCCTTAATTTGATTGTTTAGAGCCTCAGCTCTATAGTAATCACACCCAAAGAAAAATGGTTTCTTCATAGAGAATACCGAGAAATAAAATTGATAGGTGGAAAAAAAGCAAAATGTCCCTGTCACTAGCAAAGTAAGGAGAGATTTAATTGTACGATTACACTGCATAAGTGTCGAGTCTTGAAGAAATATATTAAGGATGCAAAGAGTCTCAAGTGTTTTTGAAAAGGCTCAATGTTTATTAATCATATAAATATATAGACTTGTCTTTTATAGACAAATTATAAATAAAAAAATATAGAAATAAATTTCAATTTCTTATATTATACCCAAACTTATCATAAATACAATATTGTATCTACACTTTCCAAATATACATATTAGCACAAAAAGCAATGACAGATCAACAAACCTTACGAATAGATGGTCTTAGGAACTGAAGGCCATATCAGAGTAGGTTTGATCAATCAGACAAAAATTTTAGAGATAAAAATAGATCATAAAGTCGAAAATGACTTGGCAGAGAGACAAATCTAAGAGTCGAAACACGACCCGGCAGAGAGTCGAAACATAACTCGACAGAAGTTGTACCGACTGGGTGAGCAACAGACTCGTCTTGAAAATCGGCGTCAATGCTTCAGGGACGAGGAATTGACACAACTAAAATGAATATGGTTCTGATATTATGTGAAGAGTCCTAAGCTTTTCTAAAGAAACTTAGTGTCCATTAATCATATGACTATACAGACTTGTCTTTTATGGACAAATTCCAGATAAAAAAATATATAAATAAACCACATATTCTTATACTATACCCAGACTTAATAAATATAAGATATTATATCTACCATTCCTAAATATATAGATTAAAATATGCGCCTTCCATATTAATTGAATATACAATATATTATTTCCTTTCACAAGAGAGTTCAAACGGTAAACGGCTCGAAGAGAGGGTTCTAAATACAAAAGTATTCCGCTCAATTGCCAAAGCCAGGAAAAGAGTTAATAACATAGATGACATCAAAATGAAGGGGTTAAAGATATGTACAATGAAGAGACAGGAGAAAGTCAGTTCGGCGTGCGAGTCCAGTTTTCCATTGAAATTATTTCTCTCCTCAAAATCCAAAATACTCTCATGGCGTACTTCGAACAATTTCGCTCCCTTAGAAAGGGGGATACATGAATAGAAATGGATTCATAACTGTTAAAAACCATTTTTCTAGAGGGATTCCAGAAGGGCGTGCTTGATAACAGAAAGTATTTTATTGGAAGTTTAGAACTTTTTAATACCGTTCAAGTTTCGTGTTTGATAAGAAAATGGAACTTCAAACAAAACTTCAAGAAACTTTTCAAGTTCCAATTTTGCTTTAAAAAAAAAAAATTCCAACCCAAGGGTTGGAACTTAAACTCGGAATTTTTTTTTTTTATGAACCACCCCATAAT